AATTTCGTTTACGATATTATTTATACATCCATTTTCTTGACCACTTCATAACTTTTTATCGATTCGGAAAATGCGTATAAATAAGAAAAATTATAGCTTTAATTTCTTGCTAATACGCCATTTGGCGTAACTCTATCATCTCTCTTAATTAATTGTAAGGTAATTTAAAAAAAGATTAAAAAAGAGGGGAAAAAAGAAGGTATAAATTATTATATTCTATAAATTAAATTAAAGGAATTGATAAGGTTTGGCAATCATCAAAAAAAATTTTTGGGGGACTTATCAAGCCTATTATGATATTCCAAACTAAAAGTTAAAAAATAACATGATGAATGTAATGTTTTTAAGATTAAGGTTTATTAATTGTAAGGTAATTAAAAAATAAGATTAAAAAAGGGGGAAAAAAAGAAGGTATAGATTTTTATATTATAAAAATTAAATTAAAGGAATTGATAAGGTTTTGAGAAATAGTGGTTAATAGAGATAGAAAGAAAAGAATGAGATAATAAAATTTAGTGATAAATAGATATATTAAGGGAGGGGAAAAAAATAAAGAAAGAGTTATTTATAAGGATTGGAGATTATAAATAGGTTAGGATAAGAATATTTAAATATTTGAATATACTTGGTTATCTTCTTAATTATTGGTTATGAAAGAAAAATATGAAATAAAAAATTGTAATGTAAGTACTGACAAAAATTGTGAGTATGTTCAAAATAAATATACAAGTTGAGTATCTTGTAGAGATTTCATTAATGTGTAATTGATAATATGAGATGAAAATTGATAAGGTAATCTAAAAAATAAAGAAAGGATTAACTGAAATAAAAAGTTTCATTCATATTTACAAAGTGGAGGGAATATTGTTTTTATCAATTCAAAGACGATTTTTCAAATCTCTCAATCCATGTTAGGTATGTGTACACCATCAATTCTCGAAATTCCATTTATCTGTTTGTATAAAATAAATAAATAAAATCAACAAATAAAAATAAATACGTATCGATGACATGACGTAATGACATGACTTAGCAATGACATGATGTCATGATGACCTAGTGAGGACATCGGAAAATTATAATATAGATATATAATCAAAACGAAAAACAAAAGTAATAAAAGGTTAAGTTGTAAAAGATTAAATGTAAGTTGAAAGGCAAAAATAAGATAAATATATCAAAGTATAAATATGAAAATCATTTAACGAACGCGCGATATAAGTATTCAAATTTATCATATAACAATGAACATAGTAATATAACTTATAAATACCATTCATTGACCTAAATCGCAACAAATTTTGAGTTAGCCGCTTCTAAAAATCGGCTCAAATCGAGGTAGTTACTAAACGGTCGATTTTTAAAAACAACCCGATTAAGATCTCAATTCATAATATTATTTAGGATTAGATCCTAATCGGGCAGTTTTTAAATCGACCCAAATCAGGCCTTTTATTATAGGCGTAGCCCTAGAGGGGAATTAAAAAATTATTGAGGGCTTCGCCCCCAGACCCTATTTTGGGCGGGCCTTTGGCCCGCTTTTACCCTGTTTTCGGCCGGGTTATTTTAATCTATATATAGTCATAAAATATTTTTACAAGATAGAAGGTTAATTTTAATAAAAAAAATAAGCATGGAACAAATATGAAATATATTTTTATTAATTTATATAAAATATAATAAAATACTTGTATATACATTAATATAAAAGCATGGTAAATTCCAAACAAGTATAAGAAATTTATTTATAAAAAGTAAGTAGACATATAATTGATATTCCTCTATTATATAGAATTAGTTGCGAAATATTAGATAAAATTCCACTAGAAATATTTGAGAGTTAGAGAATATATTATAGTTAATATTTTAACAAATTTTATTAATCAAAGCTCTTGATAATAAATATAGAACAATTTGCATTAATTATTTAACGCCATATATTTATTTTAAATAAAAAACGACAATTAATCTTCATATTATCCATCCCACAATGTCTTTAAATGATATTTTCTGATGTCCTTATCAATATTTTATTGTTTTCTGTAAATATATAATTCGCTATAATGGTAAAAACTACTTGATTGAAGGCGCGTATGCAGGAATTTGATCTAAGGGGGGGGGGGTATAATAAAATTTTTCAAGAAATATTATTGTTTTTTAAAAATATCAAGCATAAATTTATCAGGACTAATTACTATTTCTAATACACAATTTTAAATTAATGTGTATTATAAAAAAATTATATGTAAAGAATCGCTTAAATGACCCAAAATAAATATTTGAATTTTTTGAGCCTTTACACAATAGGTTTCTTAGGAATAATTGCATTTTATATGTTATATATTTACAATATAAAATCCAATCTTCGTTGTGATTGAGCTAATTTTTCAATTATCTCATTCTTGCTTGTTGTCAAATGCCTACGAATATTCAAAAGATCCAAACCTTTCAAACTACTTTCAGATGTTGTACTTCTTGGTATGTTTTTCAGAGACTTTCAGGCCCGGCCCCTGGGCCAGACTGTATTTTGATTTTTTGAAATATACCCGGGCAGGGCCCGAATTTTCTTTAAAAAAACGCCCAAGCCGGGCCTGAATTATTTTAAAAAAAACACCCAATGTATTTTTTAAAACAGCCTAAATTTGAAATCGTTATTATTAGCTATAAAAATCAGAAATAAATATAATTTATTTTAAATCCTGGCTGGGCCTGAAAATTTTATTTTAAAAAAAGCCGAGTCGGACCTAAAAAATTTTAAAAAAAAAGCCGGGCCGGGCCTGACAATTTTTAAAATAAAGACCGGGCCTTAAAAAATCTTTAAAAAAAATCCGGGTCGTGCCCTGCAAATGGTACTTCTGCAGGCCTCTGTTAATCTTCTTAAAAAAGAGAATGTTCTCTCATTAGTTTACTAATGGGAAGAGTTTATAAACCCTTTTAATACACTGGGAATTTAATCTAAAATGTGTTTGAAATAATGGAGAGCATCCATAGCATTTTTTGGGACTATACCAACCATAGTTAATCTTATAAACATAGTTATTTAGCTAGTAAGGCATCATATGATACTTTAACATCTTTATATGGGAAGGCTTTTGTGGAAGTAATATTTGCAAATTAGTAAGTGCTGCATGATGAATTAAAAATTCATTTATTTGGGTTATAAATGTATCAGTATTTAAGATATACTCTTCTACTGATCTTATATTAATGTTTTAACGATGAGCTTGCCTTGTTACAAGTCGAGGGAGACAAATATTAAACATGTATAGCTCAACTCTTGACTCAACATTAAAATATATAATATGAAATTCTTCATCAACATTAGCCCTAATTTCCTTGAGTTCTGATAAAATCCCATCCGCTATTCTCATCTTCCTAATCAAGTCAATGTCATGTTTTTAAAAATTAATACTTAAAATATTGTATAATTAAATAATACATTCTCATGAGAAATAAAATTTGGAATAAGCATTGAATCCAATAATTTTCTTGCTTCTGGGAATTATTTCTTTCAGGCCATGTGATATTTCAGTAATAGCAAATAATTGGCTGTTGCTATTTCGTTTTCCCTGTTGTTGGACAAGAAATTTCAGAAATAATTATTATTTGACTAGAAATTTGAAAATGGTAGATAAATATTATGCCACTTAAAATTTGAAAATAATAAGTAAATATTACGCCGGAAAACTTGAAATCTAAATTAATTGATAAAATAACTTAGTAGATAAATGCAATGGATAAATGTGATAATAAATGTAATTAAATATATATTTATTATGAGATACAAATAAATATAAATTATATAAACAATAATATTTTCGAAAAATATATCCGTCATCTGCATTTTTTGGCTTTGGGAGGGGGGATTTATCCCCCTGCCCCCCCCCCGCTCCGTATGCCAATGCTTGATTGTCATATGATAATTGATAAAATTAGATATACTGTAAATCTACGACATATAATATTCCACTGTTTGTATTGTGCTTTAATTTTTTTATTTAATTTATGATATAATTTTGTCAATGGTTTTATTATTATATTTTACCTTTATTAAGATAAATAAATTAAAATTACTCACTTTATAAAAATTATATTTGATATATTATATTATTTAGTAATTTTATGGATATATTATTAATAATTATAATACATTTCACTTTTGTCTTAAGACTTATTTATGGCTTATATTCCGTTTCTTAAAAAGCATTTTTGGTTCACTTATTTTATAGATAAAATATTTTTTCCAAAAATGTATAAATTATGATGAATAGTTTTATAAAAAAATGTCAACATTCTTTCTTTCAAATTATTGTTTAAGATATATGCATACATTTTTGGGGGTCAGGGTATGGGGGGGGGGCTTAGGGGGAAATTTTTTATTAGCTTAAAATGATATTCACGAAAAGTTATAATTTTCTGAAATGGGGCGGATTTCCCCTTGCCCCTCCCCCCTGGCTACGCCTATGACTTTTAATAACACTAAACAGTAGTTTTCAGCTATTTTCATTGTCCAAAAATATATATCTTTTTTAAATATTTTACTTTAGTTTTACAGTTAAAAAGTTTTAACAATTCGATAAGGGAAATTTAAAATCGATATTAACTCATAGAATAAATTTAGTAGCATATTAATTACTGCTGTGGCTGTGTTAAATATAAATTGAATATGCAATAAGTGGTAGGATTTGAAAAATATTTTAGCCGGCATATGAATTTTCTGGCTTTGGGTGCAGGATCTGCCCCCACCCTTTACCCAGCACCTACTTAAATTTTTCTAATTATGTTTCCTCTAACCTTAAATTCATAGTTAGCTCGAATTAGCGGTAAAGAATACAAAAATACAGTATATTTTATACACTTCGCGACGATTTTGCTCTAACTATGAATTCAGGGAAATACATTTAAATGATTTTGCGAAAACACAGGACATTCCTATTTCCTGCTTTACATGGAGAGATATTTGTTACACACACTATCCAATATCCAATGGTTTAAAACCACGATAGAAATGAAATAACTTTAAATTTTTTTCGAATTTTTACGATATTTCTAATTATGCTTGATATATTGTTTCCAATAATTCCATACTATGATATATATGGAATTATATCAACATCTACTTTAGTATTTATTCTAATATATATTCAAATTATTGGTAGAATTTACAATATATTTTCAACCTAAAAATATTTTAAAGAACAAAAATGTCAAGCATCTGTTGGTACAATATTAGCAAATGAACAAACTCAAGCTAAGCAATACTTAATAAAGGGAAACTATAATGAAGCTCTAATCCATTTTCATAAGGCTGTGGGTAAATTATTAGTATTTTTTTATAATATATGTGTATTCTATGGCAGAAATTGCTCCTAATGAGCCATCCACATATTTCTCAAGAGCTACATGTTTTTTAGCTATGGGGAAGTCTAAATCAGCTTTAAATGATTTTAATAAAGTATTAGAACTCAAGCCTGAATCCCTAGAGGTAAATATCTAAAAACTTTATGCATTTTTATTCTCTATAAAAAAAATAGGCAAAATTATACAGAGGGGATTTACTCATTAAATTAGGTGATTATGATCAAGCACATATTGACTTTGAAAACATAGTAACTAATAAACATTTATAATAACCTTTTTCTATGATGGGAAATTATATTTAAATATGTGTTTATTTTATAAATATTTTAGCCTGGACTAGCTCATATTTTTTGGATTTCCTGTTTTTTTTAAATTTATGTTTATACTTTTATACCATTTTTTTAAAAAAATTTGATCATTATATTAATGCCTAGCCTTAATTTTTAAAATTTGGTTATCCTAAATTTTGGCTATATTTTGTAAATAGTTTTAATAAGAAATCAAAAATATGAGAACCAATTATATGTGTAAATAATTCATCATCTGATATCACTGATTTATATAATTTTAATTTATTCTAAAAATATTTAACCTATTTTGCCTGGGTTTATAGCTTTTATTTATTTTTATGCCATGGGTCACAGACAGTGATATTTAGGAATTTTATTTAAAACCTACTCACATTTCAGCGGGCCATGCCCTTAGACCCTCCAGTGCTGCTTGGCGTCACATTTGGCTATTAATAGTTATGGGTATTTATATTACCATTTTGCACTTACAATCAATCAGTCTTTTCTTCTAACTGAATAATTTTAATAACTAAGAAAATTCAATATCACTCACTCTTGGGTTTAAAGTAGTGTTGTTAAACAGCTTGTTTTGAGTCGATTTATAAAAACGGCTAATTCAATATTACATCCAGAAAAATATTACGCAAGCCTGAAGATTTTGGTCATAGAAGGAACAAAGGTCTAGACATATATTAACGAAATCTCAAGCTTAGGCATAATTTTTCTGGCTAAAATATTGAGTTAGCCATTTTGAAAAATCGGCTCAAACGAGCCATTTAACAACACTAGTTTATAGTAGATTAGATCCATTAACAAATCTTAATATTTAATTTTACACTTCATTGAGTTTATAGTTACTATAAAATCTCAACTTAGGGGAAACTTGAGGGTAGAGGCACATTAATCCATTCCAATTTACCAAGCTTTCACCATGTAAGAGAATTTAACCTTAATATAGCTAAATGTACCATAATACAGGATTTAATTTTTACCAAAAGTAACAAAATGCCTACTTTATTGTTTAGATTTATGAATAAAACTTTTTAAATCTAAATAAATAAATTTTAGGAAAGTTTTAAACAATTTTATAGAATTATAAAAACAATATAGTATGTTTTTAAATTCCATTTATACAATTAGAGATACCATGTTGATTTTTGGTCTGAGGAATGTTAGGCCATTTCATAGCATATATAGATTTTATTTAGACTAACAAATTCAATTTATATTCTACTTATCAAAATTTTATTTTAATTATTTTGTAACCCCTTCTAGATATTCTAAAATTAAATTTCAGTTACTTAGTTATGGTTAAGTTATTGCTCATTAAATTAAATCAATATAACTTTAAATCTAACCTTAAACATTTTTTATGGACCAAATAACAACATTGTTGGAAATTATTTATGTATACATAGATTTATACAAAATAGGAATGTATAAATTATTATAAAATGTATACAACAGAATAAGAATAAACTAGGGCTGTGCCGATATTAAATATCGGATTGGATCGGTCCCGATATTTGGCGTTTTTCAAAAATATCGGATCGGCCCGATACCTGTAAAAAACCCGATCCGATCGGATCCTTTTACTAAAAATGCAATTCTTATAAAACTTTTGAGTAATGAAACTTTGAATTATTATTTTTTAATAAAAAAAATTAATATTTAAAAAAAAAAAATTTTTTCGAGTTTCTATTTTACATTAATAATATTTTATAAATAATTTTTTTTTAAACAATGCAATTGTTATTTATTTTTTTAAATAGATTTTACAAGTTTTTTTATAAAAATAGAAAGGAACACCCAAAGTTTTAAAATTTTTTAAAAAAATAACACCAATTTTATTATTTATACTTTAAATAAAAATTATTTTAAATATGGTTTCTGAATTATGGAAATATTTTGATAAAGATGAAGGTAATTTTGCAAAATGCGTCATCTGCGGAATTCTAATTTCACGGGGAGGAATACTGAAAAATTCGTTCAATACAACTAACATTAGGAAACATCTGAAGCGTTGCCATCAAAAGGAATTCGAAGAGCTAACACAAAAAGAACGAGAAATATTAGAAAAAACAAATCAAATTTTTAAAAAAAGAGCCCTGAAAGTCAGCCAACAATATCAGCCATTCTTAATAAAACTAATATTTGGAAACATTCTGATCCTAAATCAATAATAATTTCTAAATTTATAGGGGAAATGATAGCGTGTGACCACTAGCCGATTTCTATCTTGGAGGATATAGGCTTTAAAAGGCTTTTACATCATTTATGTCCAAATTACAAAATTCCCAATAGAAAGTATTTTTCGCAAGGAGTTATTCCGGATATATATGAAAAACTCTCCGAAAAAATTCATAAAGAAATTTTGGTTGACGATTCTTTTTTATCCTTTACGGTAGATATATGGACTAGAAATTCAGGTGGCGATTCTCACATCTCATTAACATGCCACTATATAAACCAAAATTTTCAACAAATTAATAGAGTTCTAAATGTTAAAACATTTAATGAGTCGCATACAGCAATAAATATTGCTCAAATTTTAGATGAAATTATTAATTATTGGGGTATAAAGAAAAATAAAATACACCTAATCATTAGAGATAATGCACCCAATATAACTTTGGCCATGAAAAATGGGAAATTTCAAAGCGTTTCGTGTTTTGCACATAGTTTGCAATATGTTGCACAGGCAGCAATTTTATCACAGAGATCTATTATTGACATGCTTGCCCCGGGTTAGAAAAATAGTAGGACACTTTAAACATTCTTCTATTGCACAAAATTGTCTAAAAGATATCCAAATTCGATTAAGTCTAGCCCAGCACAAATTAATCCAGGATGTGCCCACTCGTTGGAATTCTACCTATTATATGCTCGAAAGATTGATAGAACAAAAAAGGGCGGTACAGCTGTTCATTATCGATAATCCTAATTTGGGAAATCTCTCATATATGAGTGGGAATTAGCAGAAAGGGTAATTGATGTTCTTGAACCAATTCAGAGAGTAACAAAAGAAATAAGTACGGAATCATGTTCACTTAGCAATGTTATACCCTTTGTTGAAATTCTGAAAAGTGAATTAACAATTAATGGGGACACAGATAGAGGTGTGCAGACTATGAAGAATACCACTAATAATCAATTAACAACTCGGTTTTTGCAAGTGTTGATAAAGTTGGATATTTTACAGCATTACTCTCCAATTGGATTCACTGGGGATAAAATATCAATATCATCAATGTTATTCGAGTTTTCTAAATAAATAACACAAATATAAAATTAGCATTTATAAAATAGTGGGTTTCATACAAACCCTATCTTTTGTTGATTTTGAAAAATCACCCAAACAAATGGGTCAATCATAGCCCAACCAAGCAATATTTAAATTAATATGAAAAATATGTTGTTATACTTTCTATATATAAAGATTTTTTTAAATATTCCTTGATTTCTATCAGGTATGGCAGGTCATCATTTACATTACTATCGATTTCATTTATTACTAGTTTTTCTTTGATTTTCAATTTATAAGCATCCCTTAAATTAAATTTTTTTTAATGTTAGGTGGAACATTTTTCTCATTGTCATTACCTAAGTTAACAATAAAATCTAAATTTATTTTAAAAAATATAAAACCTGGCGAATCTTTATTAGAAAATTGGAAGTTGAACATTATCATCACCTTTAAAAAAAGACTCACATGCAGTCCTGAGCTTTTCTATGTATGATATGTTTTTTGGCAAAAAGAAATCCTTATATCGAGAATCAAGTAATGTTGCGACAACATAATTGTCATCATCATAAATATCAAAAAACCGAGTGGTTAATTGATTATTAGTGGTATTCTTCATAGTCTGCACACCTCTATCTGTGTCCCCATTAATTGTTAATTCACTTTTCAGAATTTCAACAAAGGGTATAACATTGCTAATTGAACATGATTCCGTACTTATTTCTTTTGTTACTCTCTGAATTGGTTCAAGAACATCAATTACCCTTTCTGCTAATTCCCACTCATATAATGAGAGATTTCCCAAATTAGGATTATCGATAATGAACAGCTGTACCGCCCTTTTTTGTTCTATCAATCTTTCGAGCATATAATAGGTAGAATCCCAACGGGTGGGCACATCCTGGATTAATTTGTGCTGGGCTAGACTTAATCGAATTTGGATTACTTTTAGACAATTTTGTGCAATAGAAGAATGTTTAAAGTGTCCTACTATTTTTCTAACCCGGGCAAGCATGTCAATAATAGATCTCTGTGATAAAATTGCTGCCTGTGCAACATATTGCAAACTATGTGCAAAACACGAAACGCTTTGAAATTTCCCATTTTTCATGGCCAAAGTTATATTGGGTGCATTATCTCTAATGATTAGGTGTATTTTATTTTTCTTTATACCCCAATAATTAATAATTTCATCTAAAATTTGAACAATATTTATTGCTGTATGCGACTCATTATATGTTTTAACATTTAGAACTCTATTAATTTGTTGAAAATTTTGGTTTATATAGTGGCATGTTAATGAGATGTGAGAATCGCCACCTGAATTTCTAGTCCATATATCTACCGTAAAGGATAAAAAAGAATCGTCAACCAAAATTTCTTTACGAATTTTTCGGAGAGTTTTTCATATATATCCGGAATAACTCCTTGCGAAAAATACTTTCTATTGGGAATTTTGTAATTTGGACATAAATGATGTAAAAGCCTTTTAAAGCCTATATCCTCCAAGATAGAAATCGGCTGGTGGTCACACGCTATCATTTCCCCTATAAATTTAGAAATTATTATTGATTTAGGATCAGAATGTTTCCAAATATTAGTTTTATTAAGAATGGCTGATATTGTTGGCTGACTTTCAGGGCTCTTTTTTTAAAAAATTTGATTTGTTTTTTCTAATATTTCTCGTTCTTTTTGTGTTAGCTCTTCGAATTCCTTTTGATGGCAACGCTTCAGATGTTTCCTAATGTTAGTTGTATTGAACGAATTTTTCAGTATTCATCCCCGTGAAATTAGAATTCCGCAGATGACGCATTTTGCAAAATTACCTTCATCTTTATCAAAATATTTCCATAATTCAGAAACCATATTTAAAATAATTTTTATTTAAAGTATAAATAATAAAATTGGTGTTATTTTTTTAAAAAATTTTAAAACTTTGGGTGTTCCTTTCTATTTTTATAAAAAAACTTGTAAAATCTATTTAAAAAAATAAATAACATTTGGATTGTTTAAAAAAAATTATTTATAAAATATTATTAATGTAAAATAGAAACTCGAAAAAATTTTTTTTTTTTTAAATATTAATTTTTTTTATTAAAAAATAATAATTCAAAGTTTCATTACTCAAAAGTTTTATAAGAATTGCATTTTCAGTAAAAGGAAAAAGATCGGATCAGGTTTTTTACAGGTATCGGGCCGATCCGATATTTAATATCGGCACAGCCCTAGTATTTTGATTTCAAAATTTAGTAACCTAAATTTTTTAAATTTACAATACCTATATATTTTTTTTCTTTATCAATTCAGTTATTTAACATAAATAGTATTGTTATTCTAACCAAATTAATATTACATAAGCCTCGAGAATTTGCAAATAGATGTCCAAACCTTTCTTCCATCTATGAGCAAAATTTCCTTGTATAATATTTTTTGGCTAAAATTTTGAGTTAACCATTTTTAAAAAAGAGCGATGTAGCAACACTAGACGTGAATAGTTTAAAAGATGATAATTTTATAATGTAGATGAATTAATTCAACAAAATACAACCAATGCCCAATTTATAGAGGCCTTACACTAATGGATAAAAGACTAAAAATCTGCCCACTCTTTTTGCCAAATTTATCAAGGCATTTTCTAATAGAAGTTAATTGGAATTTGATTGTGACCTAAAATTTTGGTAAAATTATTGAGTTGCCCGAATTATCAAGAGAACAAATTAGACAGCTTTGATTATATAGGAAAAAATTTAATTTGATGAGTACATTGTGACCTCCATAAGGCACTATGTTTTGATCAAGAACATATTATTAAACAGTTTTAAAAATAATTTGATAGGGATGAACTGTCCATAAGGGGTCAAACTTAAGATAAGAATTTTGTAACATTTTTAGTTTTTACTGTAATATAATCTCTTGATTACCATTAAAAGCTTAGAAATAATCCCCAAAACAAAAATGCGAATTCTCAACTCATATTGGTGCAAAATTTAAAAGAGGACTATGAACACATTATTTGGTTGATTGAAGGAAATAAAAATTGTCGAGATGCCATACCTATGCTTGCAAACTTGATCAAAGTTTTCTAAACATTAAAAATATATACATAAGTACTTTATATTTAAAAAAACCTATTCTTTAAATTAGTTTTTTTAATAAGTCATATCCTTCTGACTCTAAATTATTGTTGAAAAATATTAGATCCTAGTCTTTTAGATTACCAAATGTTGAAAATTGAGAATATCATTATGTAACAACTTAAACTTTAAAACAAAATCATACAGTCAAGCCCAATGAATGTTAAACTGCATGAAATAAAAGCTGAATGCCTCCTAAACCTGGGTCAAATAACGGAAGCCATTGCGGAGTACAAATCTATCTCCAACTTGATACCTGATGACACAGAATTTATAATGAAGGCCAGTAGAGCTCTTTTTGATATGGGATTTATCGAAGACGCTCTAATGTAGCAATAATCGTTTATCTATATATTCTTTACTTAACAATTTGGTATCTAAATTGCTTCTGATATTTTTAGAGTTTGAACAAGGAGCATATTAATATATTAATATCGGTAATAGGAAAAAAAAACCCCGGATTTTTTTTCTTCATATTTATATAATTTGAAGCTATTCTCAATTCCAAATACGTCGAATTGAGCCTCGATTTCCTCCAGAAACTTGGAACGTGAATCAGAGCACTTTATCCGACGAAGAACGCACAAATAATCAATGCGAAGGTTGGAATCATCGTTTTTCTAATCTGGTTGGGAATAAATAGCCATCAATCAGGGTATTTATTTAAAAAAATGGAATTCGAGGTGGCTATCAATGAAACTAAACTTGAACGATGGCGTGTAGATAGTTGGACACCGAAAAAAAATTGCAATTATAATACCCATATTCGGTTAAAGAAATTTTGCGAGGAATATCGTGTAAGAGCGATTTCCTTAAATATTCTATGTCAATCAATATAATTATTATTCTTTGTATATATCTTGATTTATCAATAAAATAAATATATTTTATTATAAAATTTTGTCAAATTTAGTCTACTTAATATCGTAATTAAGGATAGATATTGTATTTATTACTATAGCAAATAATCTTTACGAAAATAAGAAATACATAGGTTATTTTACTGTGGTATTTTTTCCCAGTACCAATTTGAACTTTATCTTGTTTAAGCATTTTTATGGAAGAATATATGCGTAATCTTTAAATAATGAATTAGGGCCTAAAAAAATTAGCTTATTAATATATTATAATTTTATAATATTTTTTTCTAAAATACTAATTTATCAATACATTATAAATATGAACATATCCATTATAATCCAAATAAAAATATACCTCTATTATTAGGTAGTGTTGATAAACAACTCGTTTTGAGCCGATTAAAAACGGCTAACTCAATATTTCATCCAGAAAAATATTACGCAAGCCTGAAGAACTTTCTTATAGAAGGAACAAAGGTTTAGACATATATTATCAAAATCTCGAGGCTTAAGCAATATTTTTTTGGCTAAAATATTGAGTTAGCCGTTTTGAAAAATCGGCTCAAAACAAGTCGTTTAACAACACTATTATTAGGTCTTAAGTAAATTCTATAAATATGAAAAAAAAATTCGGGGGTTTTTTTCTGGGATTCATTAATATCCATACATATACAGAGATAAGCATTTTAAAATGTAACTTTATATATTTGACTAAATATTTATAAGAGTAGTGGGATTTGATAGATATAGTTATAATGGAGAGGAGTATATTTTTATCCATTTAGTAATCTTTTTTTATATAACAACGCTTCTTTGAGCACGCTTAATTGATAAGAGACAGGGGAAAACTATAATAACTATCAATCTCTCTCGGCCAATTAATAATTCGTTTTCTATTCTATTTGTTGACAATAATTTTTTAAATCATAAATAAGTACCATTTTTTGATCACATTGTGAAAGAAATCAACATACTCGATATTAGAAAAGCTACATTTTATAAATTTTAATTTTGTAGATTTACAAAAAAAAAGCAACTCATTGCCATTATTAGTTGTCTTGCCTAAATTAATTCATCCTATTTTATAAGGATATATTTTATTACCTTGGACTTATTTAAACTAAATTGCTCATAACAGTGAGATCAGAAAATGCCTAAAAGTCGATCCGGAAAGCAAGGCGTGTTTCCCTTTTTATCAATGGGTCAAGAAATTGAACAGATTTTTAATTCAAGCCACTTCCAATGTAGAAGCTTTACAGTTCAAAGAATGCTTGCATAATCTAGACAAATTGAAGCAAAGTATAGGAGATTCTCCTGATTTGCTTAGGGCTATGGCTCATAGGATATCTCAAAAGGAATGTCTCTGCATGGCCAAAGTATATCGCTTGACCTGAATATTTCATTATACTTTCCTATTAACTATTTTATATTTTTACATAATTGATGTTTCAATTTTATTCTTATAAGGACAAATGAGTTCATATACTGTCATATATTTTAAATAACTCAATAAAAAATCTCAATTTGTCTAATATTTTAAGAAAATTAAAATAAAACTCGAGACTATATTTTATCTTAAAATATTGTTTTGTATAATTAATTAGAAGGGAATCATGATAGGGGAAAATATTCCGCATTTATTGTGTTCATGATAGATTACTATAACAATTTAATTATAATGATATTAAAGTTTAATTCTTGGTACTTATATATGCATGCTCAATGACTTTTATATAAGGTCAAGACGCCGGGACATCTCTAATCGTAGCGTCTTTGGAACCCATCCCTTCCAAGCATAGCATCTTTTGGTGTGGATCTTGTTCAAATAAATTTAAAATTATATCTAGCTTTAAACTTACAAATTTATCAAAAAGTTAAATGTACCTATATTTAAAAAACGGTATAATTGTAAAGTATATTCTATATTTTAATATCTTCGCATTCTTTATTTTTAAATGGATGAAGAAATTAAATTTAAGAATTTTTTATAAATTGATGGCGACTGTGTTTAGATGCCTCAAGCTATCACGACCTTGAATTCCCATACTGAAAATAGCTTAGAACCTGAAATGCTCTTCAAAATAAAATTTCAAATGAAGATTTTTGATAAAATTTTATCTAAAATTCCTTTGTAAAAAAATCTTTAATTAAAAAAAAAAATTCTGATCTTTAAAAAGATTTTTTTTTCAAACTCTGCTCAGAACTATAAAATGAAAAGTAATAAATTTGATAATTTAATTAATTTATGTTTTAAAAAAAATACTGTTACAGTTTGCAGGGACACACTCCCTAACTTAAAAATTATAGACGGGAAGAGCGCTTGACCTTCACTAATGGCTATCAATTATAAAAATAATATTGAAGGTATACAGTATACACTTAAAGATGTAACACAAGGGAAATTTCCCCTATAATCATAATGTGATTTTTTGATCAAATAATTATCATATTTTACACAAATACTTTTTCGTGGTTTATAAATCATAATTTTGTTTTGTTTATAAACAAAAATCTCAAAATAAATAGGGTTGTATTGTAGTGTGTAAATGCTGCTTAGAAAAGAGCTTCTCTACCAAAGATGACAATACCAGCAGGGCTGAACCCACATCCTGAACCAGAACCCGGATATTTTACTGAACCAGAACGAACCTTTTTTTAAATTTACGGTTCAGAGTAAAAAAAAATTTGTATTTTTTTATTATAATTTCTTTATTTTCTTTTTAAATTATAAAAATTACAATGTATTACATATATTATAAAAATAAACATGTTTAAATTTTTTAACATAATTTTTTTTTCAATATTTTAAACATTATTTTTGAAAATAATTTTTCTGAACACCGAATCCTGAACCCACTCTAACCTGGTTCGGAGACTGAACCCCAACCTGAACCCTTTTTTTAGAAGGAAGGTTCACATTCCTGGACACTACTTATTTCTTAATGTAGTAATTGGAACATTAAATAATATAATGATTGATAATAATCTGGTTGAAATTCATATCATAACCCCACCAAATGATATTGCCGATGATAGTGATAGGCCAATATCTTCTTTTAATTCAACTAATAAAATAAAAATGAAATGGTTAAGGTTATGAAAATTGCGAATATTATTATATTACAACTTAGAAAACTAAAAGATAATATCGGAGATTTGTGTGATTGTTGAGACGAAAGCGATATATGGGATTTTGAGATTCGCAAGCCTCGACTTGCACCTAGACAAACAAATCCTTCTAGTATCAAGGGGACTCATTTTAGTATTACTATAAAACAATCGTTATTCAACTTTTGGATGCATTTTTAAAATCAAGCAACGATCTGTTCTTCATAAATGGCTCCTTCAAATTTCAAATACTAATATACCTAGAAATCTATCTCAGAATTAAATCTTCATGTTGAAAAATTAAACATCTAAATTTTATTCAGAGGATATAAATTTATCCGAAGGCCAATTAATTTCAGAACCTAAATCTTGTTGTGAAAAAATTAATATCCTACAAGAAACTCATGTGCATACTTAAATATATTTTGGAGCTTTCCCAAATAATATTAAGATTACTGAATATTTTGTTTACAATATCGATTAATAGAAGGATAAATGAGAGAACCTTTTTTTCATTGCGAAGAATAAAAACAACTTATCTCAGAAGTACGACATCAGAAAATCGATTCCATGGACTAAAAATTGGCCCAATTGCATAGAAGATTAAATTTCCATTTATGACCGATATTTTGATTAACTTTTTAGATCATCATATAATGTTTAATTCTAAATTTATATACCGGTTTATATAGCTATAATATTTTTTAACAATATTATATTCGCTATTAAATATTTTTTATTTTCCAATATTTTATTTGTTTGTTCGAAATAGTGATTTTTATGCTATAATAAATTTTATATGATGATTAGTACAAAAATCGGGTTTTTATAATCTTTATTTTCCCAATCCAAGAATAAATAATGAAATAAGAATCGTCGTAATCAATATTATTTTTAAGTAAAATACATGATTGACATATATTAAATGCCAACTGCAACACGCCCACATAACGGGCTAAGGAAATCCGCCATAACAAATTTATATTATAACGTATGCACTATTATATAATTATTGTCCTTAATTAAAAAAATGTTCCAAAGGAACATACATATTTATATCCTAATTACCACTTTATGTTTATTACAAAATTTAAGGGTTTGTGCCTATATTAAATTCAAATCGGATCGTTACTGATATGCCTTTTCAGAAAATATCGGAATCAGGCCGATATTTTTAAAAAACCGATTTGATCCGATATTTTTTATTGTTTTTGATTATTTTATTATTGAATATGTAATCATATAATTTTTATTATTTATAAATTAATGAAAGAACTAAAATACTATTTATTCTAATAAAATTTTGCGTATGTTATACAGGAAACCAAGGTAACGAAAGGATGATGTGTTGGGTCCCTGAATACTTATGGTGGCCCAACATGAATATAGAAATTCAAAAAATTACTAAGAGATATGTTCCTTGTAAAACCTGTTCCGCCAAACCCCGTAAAGAGATGAATAATGTTTGTCCGAAATTGACTCGCCCGTGGAATCGAATTGACATTGATTTTTTTGATTTAGACAAAAAAATTATTTCTTGGTCGTGGACGCTTATGTAAAGTGGATTGAATATGAGGAAACCCTTGGTTTGACAACTCAAATTGTCATTAGAACCTTACAAAAATTCTGGGCCAGGTTTTATATACCTGAAACCAATACAACCACGCCTAGTGTTATTAAACGGCTCGATTTTTAATAACGCTTAACTCAATATTTTAAAAATATTACGCAAGCCTGGATATTTTGCTCATGGGTGGCAGAAAAGTTTTGGCTAAAATATTGGGCTAGCCGTTTAACAACACTAACCACGCCGGTCAATGGCTATGCACGAGATAATGTTCGCAAGGAGATGTTCAGACAGATAACATCCAAGGTGAGCATGATGGAGGATTTGTTAGTAGAGGAGTAAATATATTTTTCTTAAAAATGTAGTATGATGGATTTTTTATATATTTTTACATTTATATATTGTTTATTCAAATAAAATTATTCGTGGCATTTTTTTATACAAATATACGATATTTTGTAATAAATATAAAATGGTAATTAGGATATAATAATAAATATTTGTTTTGGCGCATGTCCTTGGCCGGTGGTGGGCTTGTTGCTTAGCATTTTTATACATATATATTTTTTATTACGTCAATTATGTATTTCATTTTTATTCTTGGATTGGATTAAAGAAAATAAAGATTATTTAAAAACTAAATTTCAGGCATTAAATTCTACAAACTACAAAACAATGCATCAGCATCAATTATTTTCCAATTGTTTAAGAATAAATTATTCAGATATTATAAATAATATTGTTATACTTGATATAATAAAACAGACCCAATATAATGATGATTAGTTCATTGTAGCCAAAAGCATTCAAATATATAGGGATACGAGTCCTACTTATTTAATTATAGAAATTAGATTTTATTGAAATAGATTAATTTTTAATGAATTAAAATGCGTCTATTTATGGATTTTATAATTCTCTCTATTCACATCTATTTAGAATCAGCGTTTTTTTCTTGTTCAATTTCACAATAGCGCTTTCTTTCCCATTACGTAATTTATAATTATATAAATTTAGACAATATAATTTATATGGAGTTTTTTTAAATTCCATTTTATAATTCTAAGGTTTTGTTTAGTTTTGATTTATTCAAACAATCGCATTTATTATTTATTTTGTACCAATATATTTATAGTAAATCTGATTAAAAATAAATATCAAAACTAGGATAATCAACCAGCTGCTTTGGAAAAATGTGAAGATGCCTTACATATGGAACCTAACGATGTCGAAACGTTGTTGATCCGTGCACATATATATCTTGACAACGATGAAAATAACAAAGGTTTCTATATATATTATATAGCATTTGAATTTTATAAATGTTATTTTTGATTATCTAATATTTTCTGGTAAAAAACGATTTACTTACTACTTCTAGCTCATTTGCGTCATTATGGAAAAGCTTAATGTGCTCACAACTCCTATATATACTATTTACACATTTAAAATAGTATCTATTTATAAAAAAGTGTTTATTTAAACACCACTTTTTTTATAATCTCATTTATAAATTACGTAATATATTTTTTATTTACTAAAGCCAAAACCGATTTTGAAAGAGTAAAGGAAATCGACCCGAATGAACAAAGAGCTCATGAAGGTCTGAATAAGATTAAAAACGTGAACAAACGCAAGGAATTGAAAGATTATTATTCCATTTTGGGCGTCAAAAAGTAATATCAGAAGGAAAAAAATCTTTTTTGCCAAAAGAGTTTATTTTTTATTTAAATTAGGGCAATGCAAAGGAACTTTTTTCGGTTTGAAATTTCGTAAAGTGCCTAGTCATTAAAAAATTTCGAATTTATTTTTATCCATTTGACCAATCCATGCGGTATATTATTATACCGAACGATCTTAATTTGACCTTAAAAAAACTCATCGACCGGTTACTGGAGGTTTTACTGTTTATTATAATTGTATGAAAAATTTACTAAAAAATGAATAAAGATCGGCCAGCACAAAAGAAATAAGTAAAGCTTACAGGATATTAGCCCGTAAATGGCATCCAGATTTGAACAAGGACAAGCCAAAAACTGCTGAAAAGAAATTTCAAGACATTGGTGAAGCCAAAGAAGTTCTCACTAATTCGGGTATATACAATTTTCTATCATTTTTTATTTTTATTATTTTAGAAAGAGTAAATTAAAGTTCGACGCGGTCTGGCTTGCATACATTTTGGATCGATTTTTTGACGAGGCTCATAAAAAATTTTTGCCTATTCCATAAAATAATTTTGCACCAAATTTTAGGACCGACATTGCTAAATTATATATAGGGGATCCGATTACGGTTCCGCGGCAAAAAAATATAAAGATCTCGATTCGTTGATTCAGGTGCTTAAAATTATAAAAGTTCCGGTTTGGTTAAAAAAATTATAAAGGTTTGGTTACCGCTCATAAAATTATTAAAGGCTAGTTCTGTTATAGCGGTTCGGTTCGTTTTAAGTCACTATTAATTATCTAAATCTGAAAATTTAAGCCATTCTTCATTCAAGAGTAGCGTCATGCGTCATCAAACTAAGATTTTTAGAGATATTCAATTTCTTTTTTTGCTTAAATAAGCTTGTAATATTCATCTCCAATGCACAATTTAACAATATTACTCTCTATGTCCGTTAAAACTTTTTAATATTGAGGGAATTACAATAACACTAACTAATTTATCATTAAAGTATAAATTTTTAATATGGTTTTCCTATTAAATATATAATTTAAAAAATCAATAAAACTATTAGGAGAATTTTAAGCCCTAAAGAATAACCTTAAAATTTTCAAAATAGTTATTTTTTATTATAATTGTTTCTTACATACACGATTATGAATTGTTCAATAAAATGTTTGATTTTTTTCCCTTGTCTTTTAAAAAAAATCAAATTATTCTTAATTTTGATTCATGCGAATGCTAAATTATTATGAATATTTAATTATTCTATTCGAATTTCTGGAGACCTAAACATAATTGAAATTAATATAAATGCAAAGGCTTGCAAGGAATTTTAGAGATGATACATTATTAAAGTGGTCCGATGTTGGAATTGTCATTTATTAAAAAATATTACATTATACTATGTATGTATTATATTATAATCACTTAATTATGTGGGTCTATTTTAACTCCATTATAGTACAGAGAGCCATTTTAAAATTATATCACCAGTTTAACATTTTAATGTGTTTTTAAGGGATGGTAAAATATAAAATAAGATTTTTTAAATTAATAAGCAAAATAATTGTTATATTAGAATTTTGTTGTTACAAGCTTAAGAATTATATTTTTTATCGCACCAGAATATTTCACTGAAAAAAGTGATAAAATATTTTAGAAATTAGGAGGTTTAATAGTATATTTTAGATAGTAATTCATAAAAAGTATTAGACATTAAGACTATTATCCCTTTCTTATCATTTATAAAGAAAAACGGAAATTATACGACAGCGGAATCGATCCCAATCGACCAGAGTCTCAACAACAAGGTGGTACACCATTTTTCTTCCAGAACGGCGGTGGCGATTTTTTCCAAACCTTCGATGGATTCCCTTTCCAGGGTCAAGGGTTTCAATTTCGCTTTGATTTTGGATAAATTTGTCTACATCTCATTCATTTCGATCTTCCTTTTTTTCTTATATCTAAACGAGTGTTAATAATTTTAATTTATTCCGCAATTCATTCCCCCTCCCTAAAATACATGTTACATTTTAAGAAAAACGAGATTCATTGTTTGAAATATAAAACATTTTTGTTATATTATTTTTGACATTCGCCTTTTTATTCATCTTGTTAATGGTTGTAAAATTTGATACTATTAATGTATGTAAAAAATCAATTATATTATAAAATAAAATGATTTAATTTAAATGATGCATAAATCTATCATAAGTGTTTTCTCCTGCATTAGAACTATAAATTATTAATTGAGACGTAATTTTTAAATGTAAAAATTCTGATTTGACTTATAATATGTTCCTGCATATGTATACCTAGTGCTGACATTTCTAAAAAATCAACGTGTTCAACGTTCATTGACAAAAATCGAAGTTCGCTTCACTTTCAAAAATAAGGAACGCGTTCACCCGTTCAAAATTTTATGATAAATTTTTTTTGAATTTAATATAAATAAATGTTTTATATTTTTTACAATATATTAGCCATGTTAAAAAATAATATAGTTTTATTTTGATAATATAATTATAAATACAATATAATATAGCGAATAAAAAGATATTTTATTCAAAATTTCCATCTGATAGACAGGAACACTTGGCAGTTAATAAGGCATTAGCTATACTAAAAACGCGCTCTACAGTAGCAAATGAGGGGTTTGCGGTATTATACTCAATAAACAACTCTTTTAACGTGGGGAATTTAAAACATTTATTGATTTATCCTTTGCTTCAAAAAATTGGGATAAGATATCCTCCTCCAATCCATCCTCTACTCTACTTCCTCGTCAAAAAATATCCCGAAATTAACAGTTCATTATCATTTCTAGGGTTGTCAATGCATTAATAACGCTATAAGTTTATGCGAAAAGGAAAAACAGTTATTTATAAAATATAAGACTTTTTTCTTAAAAAATTCTAATTAATATTAAATTTTTCAAATAAATAAAAATAAAGGGTGTTTTTAAAATAAACGAACGTTAAATTCGAACCCATTCGTCATAAAAAAGGAATGCGTTCACATTCAAAGTTCGTCAAAAATAAAAGAAACGCCGTTCATTTATTCAAAAAACAAACTTCGTTCATGAACGCGTTCGTTTACAACACTAAGAATAACCAACGTATGAATATGAAGGTAGACAATTTGGAACCACCTTTAATTTATATTAAATTTTTATATAAATTACAAATATTTTAAGGTAATAAATTTAAAGTTGAAGAAATAACGCATTGCAAATGCGCGTTGCTTATTATTTGACGTTTATAATTGATTTCTTGTATATTTTACGTATATTTTATGTGATTGAATTGACATAATTCTCACAAAACGGACCTTTGAAATAAAAAAAAAACCTGATCTTATAAAATTGATATTTTATTATTTCTCAATCCTATTAAAACTTGATTTTATTCAAATATTATATTTCAATGACTTTAATAAAAATTTGATAATGGAATGGAAACTTAGGAGAATTAACTTTGTTATTTTTGTCTATAATATAATAGATATAACATTTAGCTTGAAAATTAATATAATTAATTTTTCGTTGTTGGTTATATTTTTTTTAAAACTACAAATGAAAAAGAAAATTTAATTTAAAAAAATTAGATGTAAAATAGTGATACAAAAAATTAGAGCATGATAAGAGACTTAAACTTTGGATAATAGTTAAAGAGGTTCTTAAATAACTGTAGCCTTATGGTAATACTAAAATATTGCTGAACTGCCCGATTTTTGTCGATTTTTAAAAATGGCCGGATTAAGATTTTGGCTAAAATAATATTATGCAAGCCTCGAGATTTGGCACATAGAGATCCAAACCTTTCTGCCATCTATCAGCAAAATCTTCAGGTTTAGATATATTATTTTGGCTAAAATCTTAATCGGGCCGTTTAACAACACTACTTCTCCGTTTAATGGCGATTTTCATGTTTACTCAGGTTTGCCAGTTTCCCCTCTGATTTTTCTTTTGACGGTCCTGAGCATCAATATTTGTAAAATTTATTTTACTCATATCCGCATCCACGCCACCTTAGGCCTTCCTTTTATCCTCCTTTTCTTTCAAGGTGCATCTCTTTACCCAGTCATCTTTTGTCTTACGTTCCGCATGGCCAACCCATCTCAGTTTATTTTATCTCATTACCACTCCAATCACCTCTATTCCCATTATTGCTCGCAATTCCTTCAGAGATACCCCACACATCCATCTAATCATCCTCATCTCTGTTCTTTCCAATTTAGCTTCGTGGGCCACTTTCATTGACAATGTTTCGCCACCATTAACTAAACAACTCCTCAGACAGCTTACATAAACTTTCCCCTTTAACTTCAGAGTGACATTTTTATTTGGTAGAATAGACGATATCTCTAAACTTTTTCCGTGCTTGTCCGATCTTGCAGCAACAGCAGAATCTACACCACCATCTGCGTTTAGCATATACAAATAACAAAACTTTTCCCAGGATTGACCCATTGCCAATATCCAAACCATTATTTTCTACGTTATCATTATTATATACCCCTTTTATACCTGTTCTACAAATAAAGGTCATTCTTGCTAACATCAGACTTCCTTTTTTCCCGCTACATTTATTATGCATACATTTCTGGAATCTGGTGCATTGGATTGAATTTCTAGCAACTTCTATCCCACGTACATAACAAGGCCATTTGCCGGATTCCTTCGCTTTCAGATTATCCCCATTAATCATCACCTTTGCCTTTACTGCATTCATTTTCAGGCCCTTTGCTTCCATAGTCATCTTCCATATACTAATTTTATTCCTCAATTCTTCCTCGTTGTTTGTCAATAATACAAGGTCATCTGCACATAATATCATGGAAGTTCTTCACGCATCTCTCTAGCCACCACCCATTATTAAGATAATAATAATGGACTCAACACGAATCCCTGATGAAGTCCTACCTTCACTTCTGATTACCAGCCAGGATAATCTCCTCTTCATTTGCCAGTCTCAATGTCACCTCCAATAGACTATCCCAAAATGTATCTTTCTCTTCTTCGATATAATATCGCATAGCCTTCTACCGATGATCATCCTAATAATCATTATCTGGTTATCTAGTCTTCTTACTTCGATTACTTTATCCACCCATTTTTCTGCAACAAAATACATCAACTCCAGTTTTACCATCATTATCTTGCCAGAAATATTTATACTTTTCACTTGCCCTGCCAATCATTTTGAACCATTGCCTTCTTTTCCCGCTCTTCCCGTCATGCTTTCTACATTCCACGTCGTAACTCTTACCCTATCCCTCAGAAACTGGTTTCTCCACTTATTTCTAAGTCGTTTATGACAGTCATATTTTTCACTATTAATACTAAACGAATAAGGTAATGAATTATATTATTGTGAATAGCCTCGAAATATATTACATTGTTAATTGACTACGGTTCGGATCGATTCACTCAAATGGAACCACGGTCTTTAAAAAAAATCCGGTTACCTTTAATTCTTGTTTACTGGGACTAAATAAATTATTTTTTGACAAACTTAAAGATTTCATATTGCAAAATAAAAATGAACAAACAAAAAAATATATATTAATTGAATAGAAAGCAAATTTTAATATTAATAAAAGAGAAGCCCGGACTGTGGTTCTGAAAAAATATCGGTGCCGGTCTAAGACCGATAGGGCCGGACCATTGTATAAATATTATTTTCTTGGACTATATATAATACTTAACAAATAAAGAATGAGTACTTATCTCATTTTTCAATATTCGCATTCCAATCATTGATCCTTGTTAACATTTCCTACAAATTATACATTAAACCTATTCTATTTTAACTAATCCATATTTGAGCCATCCTACAATAACCTTATTTTCAAAGAAAGTTTAGTTATAATATTTTATACACATTAAGAAAATGGATTTAAAACAAATAATTATTTACTCTTTAACTTGCTCGATTATCTACCATGATCATAATCAGAGTACTGCAGGATAAAGTATACACTGTTAAGGAATTTTTAATTCATTAGGAATATCTTCATCGATATATTGTCGAAACCCAACAATCGTTTCATCAATTAATTTGAATCTTTGGCGGATTCTTTTTATTTGCTTCGTACCAAATCGCACATCTAAGTTTTTTTAGCCAATTTTCTTTGTAATTAAAGAATATATCGAAAAGATTTCTAAAATAAAATAATAATTTTAATCAAGTCATTTTACCCTCGTTTTCAAAGCTATTTATTAAACAGGACTGCATCATGCTTTCTAGGGAAAATTTTTTTTAATTTTTGGAGTTTTTTAAATGTATTTTTAAACAAAAGTTTCATTTTGAAATCGACCGACATCAATAAATATTTACTTACACGCAGCGTCTGAGAGGGTAAGAGCGATTTACCTTCTATTTTTGAAGGAAGGGGATAGGGCAAAGTAAAAATAAAAAATTTATTAATTTCTTATTCATTATAAAATTTTAGTACAGTTTGAAGTTATGTACACTCGTGGGTAATGTTTATGCTATGGTTAGTAACAACTAGTTGATTATCACCAAGCAATATTTATTTGTTATTTTTAGCCTAAATAATCGTGAGTCCTGAAAGAGTTTAACTAGAATTTTGTTTGAAGGTTATAAATGATATCTCATTATAGGATGTTTTTAGATTAATATCATCGGGTTGTTATGATGAATAGGCAAATATCGTGGCTGAAGGGCGTTATTTTTTTAGAAGAGGGGGGGGGGGTTTGTCTCCAATAAATTTATCATGTTGACGCTGCCCACATATTTTATTTTTGTCAACATGTTCCAAATGATTTTTTTAATATCAATCTAACAATAAAAAAATAGTTCATTGACAAAAGGACACCATTTATTATTTCTTTTAAAGTAAATTGTTTAATTCTAACAACATAATCCTATTTGAAAATTTCAAATTTATAGTTAAACTTTTAAAATTGGACTATTTCTTGTTTGTAGTGTTGTCAAAATAGTCGAAAAAATTTGCTAAGCCTTGATACAGAATAAATATTTTTCAAGATTTTTAAACCTCGAACAATGTTAAGATGATATCGCTTAAAAATTCGGTTAATCTTTTTTAAAGGCTGGTAAAAATGGAGCTATTTATCACCACTACTTGTTTTAAAAATAATGAAAACAAAAAAATAAACTTTTTTCTTCCCATCTTCCATGTGGCTATAAAAAAATAAGAAAAAATTTTTGATTTTTATAACAATAATAAATAGAAAGGGGATTCAAATTTAACACTTGAAATAATATTGGCAAGGAGGGGGTGCTCAACCCATCCTTAAAATTTAGAAAAGGGGCTAAAAATTAACAAAATTATATATTAACTAGCTGATAGCCCGTCAAGAATGACGAGGAATCAGAATTTTCTCCTTATGGATAATACCTTCATTTGAAAAGGATGAATCAGAATTGAGAGGAATAGATTATCCATATTCATTCTTGCAAGATTTTTATAAATTTTTAGAGAAAAAGGCCAAATATATTATGGAAAATATGGAATAAAAAAAAGTATGATTTGTGAGTTAAGATATATTCTTTTAACAAATTTTCCACATCCAGACGCAATGGTTTTAGCCCTCTCACTTCGTATAAAATCTACATTCACCTCAAAGAATCAAAATGCTTTTAAAACTTTCCTAAATACTCTACCTGCCATCATAATAGATTCTAATCAATTATAGAGGCAAATCTGATTATCTAACAAACACTGTGGTGGTATCCACCTCATTGCAATGGGCTATTTAGAAGATTTAGCAAAATCAATTGTCATGGGTCAAAACCCAGGGTCTTAATTTATTAATTATAGGTTAATTAGGATTTGGTGTTAAGGGAGAAGGCAAAAGAGCTTCACATGTCATTTGTATTATATCCAAAATCCTACTTCTAACATGGCTATTATCAAAGTAGACTTTAAAAGTGCTTTCAATAGTAAATTTCGTGAACATTTCATAAATTATTTTTATCCCAAATTTCCAGTTTATTCAAAATTAGACATGCTGTAACATTAAAACTCCTATATTCAGCCCTCATGTCATAGATGACGAAAGGATCCAGCAGGGGCACACGTCCTCGTTTATTTTACCTTGACATTCATTATCTCATCCATTATCTTAAATCGAAATTTGATTTGGATATAAATTTTTGGTATCTTGATGATAGAATAATCTGTGATGTTCTTCCTAAATAATTGGTTTTCAATTTCTTGAAGCCAATTTAAAAAGACTCATTCTTAATAAGCTCAAATCCAAAATCTGTTTCTATGATAACAATATACAAAACCCTCATCTAGCAAGATTAAATATTTTATTGAATACATAAATAATAAAAATTAAAAAATAAGGAAATTAATATAATTTTAAAAAAGTATATTCAAACATGATTCAAATATTTGTTCATATTGAATGCAATAAGTATATATATACTTCATTAACATATTATAAGAATAATAAAAATTTTGGATTTAACTTTCATCAAAATAAGGTAAATTTCTGATTAAACCTCATATAGGCTTATTTCTGATTTATCCATCATCAAATTAAGGAAAATACTAATTCCTTGTCATTCTTGTGGGACATCAGCTAGTAATCATATAAAATGCAAATATTTATTAGATTGTGGGAATGGATCCTTCCTTAAGAGTTTTTTTATTAACAACGGAAGCCATAAAGCACTTCTTGGTAAATTGTTATCCACAGAGTTTTGAATAAGTTAGCATCTTCTCATGATATGGATCCATTCTTCAAGATGAGCTTTATTATAAGAAAATATATTTTGATATAGGTACAGGGGTTAGGCCATATTTAATTTTTTTTTAAATATTCCCGGGTGGGCCTAAAAATTTTAAAGTTACCCAGGTCGGGCTATATAATTTAATAGCTACTATTATCTATAAAAATTGAAAATACATATAATATATTTTTAAAAAATCCAGATCGGGCCATGTCAAAAATTTTTTTTTTTAAATCCAGGGCGTGCAAATGGTACTTACAGGTCTCTGATATGTTTATTACCTTCAATATAAATATATAATCGGAACATATGAATTTTCATTATATTAATTTCATAAAATCTGTAAAAATTATATTTATGTGCTCAATAAAAAAATATTCCTAAATAATACATTCATTTCCAATTTAAAACCTAAAAAATTTATTCTTGCTAAATGAAGGTTTTGCCTAACTTAAACCCGCCCATTCTGTGGATAGATTGAAAGATATTGGGTTGGTGAGTGGGAGGGTTAAAATATTTTGAAAACAATGGGTAGGTGAATTTGAAATATATTTCAGGCAAAACGAGCAATTGACTTCTATTTATTATTAGATATTATTCTTAATATATCAGTTTAGGTTAAAAACAGTAAAATAATACATAAAGAGCCAAATCAACCAATATAATAATTTTTAAACACTGGACAGCAAGTCAACAAAATTTTTAAATAAATGAGCAGGTGGGTGCGCCAAAACTTTCCCATTGCAGACCTCTAGTCAGGATGACATCGGAAGCAACAGATCATGGATTTTACCTCTGCCAAAGAATCCATTTATAAATGATATGAGTCTGCCACTTTTATTTTCCCATGCATTTACCATCAGAGGTCTGCAAATGACAACATTTTCAGGCCCAATGGAAATTTAGTTAATGCCCATCTCAAGTTTTGCTTGGCCCAATTTCAATTTTTTTAAAGATTGTATCAAAGTTATAAATTATATAAAATGCAAATTTATTTGATTGTGGGAATATTTATGATGGAAGGCACAAAGCACTCCTTGCACAATGTTCTTTGAGATTTTATTTATCTAAATAAAATTAGTTAAAAATTTTAAAAATGAATATTTCACCTGTAAGAATTCGTTAACCAACCTAATTTGCTAAATACCGACCAAATTTTATTAAAAGGTAATAAGACCCTTATTATTTAACATATATTATAACGGAATCACGTGATCGAGTCTTGTCTCCTATATATCATCCCCCAAAGAACGGAATCACTAAGTTGGATTAGAAAAAAAAATTATCTTTGCTGGGATTCGAATCCAAAACCATCGGATTTGGACGCTCTTGCCGATTTGGTCATAGACGCTTTTCAAAATTCACGATTTCTTAAATATATTTTATAAATAGATTTGTACAAATGAAAAATAATCAAAATACAAATTTGATAGGTACTACCTTAAGGCAACACCTATCATTAACCCAAGAATTCTAGTATATGTTATGGTAGCTTAGATAAATGAATGTTTGATAGGTATGATGAATAAGCTATGGTGATTTTTATTGGACGAATATTTTTTAAAAGAATACTATTGGCTATTAGGTTTTGACAATGTGACTGTGACACATTTATATATATTATAGATTTATGAAATAAATAAGATAGAATCTTTGTTTTTGGTACAATATTTTTGTTTATTAAAAAGAAAACGATTGTAAAATTCATCAAAAATACGAGAAGAGATGATACGGAATTCCCAATATACGAAATTTTACTTATCTTAAATATCTAAAAATATCAAACATTTTTATATTTTAAATTTATGATAAATAATTTTCAATATTCTTTTTAAAAAAAGTAAACCAAAAAAAAAATCCATGATCAAAAAATAATCACAATTTTCTATGTAATAATAATGATCATGAGTTCTTGCAAAAAAATAGATCTGTTAGTAGTCATTTTCAGGGACCCGAACCGTTATTTATAACGGTTCAGTATGTAAAAAATTATAACGGTTACGGTTCTTAAGAAAAAATTTACAAAGGTTCGGTTCAGCTAATTATAAAGGTTCATTACGGTTATAAATTTTTTTATTGAAGCAACACCATCGTCTAATTTATTTTTACTATAAGCATCTATGAATTATATATAAAAAAATATATAAGATTCAAAATAACTCATTTTTAAATATATTATAAGTAATATATTTTCTAATATAAATGGATTCATATTTGTTTGTTGTGACGATAACACAAATTTTAGCCCCCAAAAGGCCTTTTCTACAAAAACTTGTGTTGCGGGAACCGCCAGTACTATAAGAGCAAGTTTACATAATTCTGGATATTCAAATTTTTGATTCCTAAAATATAAAAACTGAACCTAACCTTTTTTTATAAAGGTTCTTTTTACTCCTTCAAAAGATAATTATATCGGTTCGTTACGGTTTACTCCGGGTCCCTGGTTATTTTATCAAAATATAAATACATAAAAAAATATGTAAAAAAGTTGTAAATATAAAATGCAAATTTATTTGTTTGTGGGAATATTTATAATGGAAGGCACAGCATGGCGATAATATCTTGTTTGGATTTATGAATATTGTGAACAGTTCCTTTATAAATTTTTAAATCTTTTGACATTCTTTTTGAGTATGAATTTAATAACCTAAATTTTTTAATTAACTACTCATTATATTTGTTTTCTTTTATTAATTTTGTTATTTGACGTGAAAACTTTGAAAAAGATGGTAAAATTTTATACTGAATGAATACAGCAAACAATTGCCCACTTTATCTAGTCTTACCTAGATGAACTATAAAGTAAAAATCTGCCCACTTTTCAATTGTCCAATTTATCATGGTATTTTCAAATACTAGTTAATAGGAATTTAATTGGCCAAATTCTAGTCAAATTAGGGAGTTGTCTGAATTATCAAGAGCTTAAATTAGACAGGATTGTAATATTTCTTATTTATAAAAAATTATTAAATTAATATTGAGTATATCTATATAGCCATCAAAAACTTTCATAAAAACTCATCGAGTTAAAAACTATTATAGATTAAGCTTTGATTCAAATTATATTTTAAAGATTAAGAATTGGGTAAAATTCGGTCACAGCCCTGTTCAGTTTTTGGAAATTGGTTTTCAAAATAAGTTATGCTCATTGGCTTATTAAACAATTTTATAATTACTAAAAAGGTCTTATTAAACAAAGAATCTTAATACGTATAATAATAATATAGCTAACGGCTATAATTTAATAATAAATCATCCGGGATTCATGTGAGGATAAACCATTAAAATTTCTATTAGTTTCTCATATGGGATCGTTATAAAAGGCAACATGGAATGAAAAATATGCAGTGATTCCAAGACTGCTTATAATTAAACTGTTAGGCCTTTACAAATTTGTACTTGTAGGAATTAAGATTATATGTAGACTAATAAATTTATGATCTTCAGAAAATAAAAAAGGGCTGATAATTGTATGTACTTCATATTTTATTACAATATTATTGATAAGATATTATTCGAGTTTTTAAATAGTGATAATATAATATATAATTTTTGTTACAAATCATAAATAAATATCTAGAAATCTTATTATTTCATTTTACAAAATATACATAATTTAAATAATGTAAAAATAATTCAAATTTTATTTTTGAGGTATTTAGATTGCGCAGTATTTAGCCTGTTAAAAGATAGATGCGTCTTTGGTTAAACGTGTTAACCCGACCCGCTATTCATGTACAAAATACCCGCTTAAACTTAGTAGTATTATAGTTCGTAATACACATTAAACGTTACATGTATATATGAAATATAATAGCGAAAATAGAGTATAAAACTGTACAAGATAATAATATAAAGGTTTATTGATCACGCCCGAAGATTTATAATTCGAATGTGCAGTCGATTCATCAACTTTAAGTTGTTTAAAATTTATATTTTGCGTAGACTTTTTAATGAATACGGGATACTCAAACAAAATACGGGTCCTGTTATGGTGTATTAAAGGTAGGTTCGGTCTTGAGTTAAATTTATTCTGGGTGGGGGAATAAAGTTTCAGGCGTTTATTTTTCTTGTTACCCCCTTGAAGTCGCACGTAATCTAAATAAGCTATTTGAGAACCTCGAGAAAACGAGGTATCTCCTGTATTTAAGAGATCGTAAACGCAAGCGTCGAAGAATACATCGGTTACTTCATAGTTTCTACAAACAGCTGAGGCCTTGTCAATAGGAAAGAGAAAGATGTGCTTCATATCGTTCTTAGTAGTAGTGCCAATAAAGGGATATTTTAATTTAATATACGAGGAATTTTCATCATGAGGGGTTAATTTTTTCTCTCGGGAGCTTGAAAAATCACCATTATTGCTTTTGGCAAAACTGGTAGTATAATTATAATTCATAGATCGATTCATCGCCATTTTTTGAAGCAGGTCATGATATTTTAATTGAGTTTGGATGATTGTGAATTCGATGGTTTTTTTTTCATCAGGATATACCTCATTCGGATGGCGTTTTTTTTTCTCATAATTATTATAAGTAAAAGATTCGTGATTCGACGAAAGTTTTAAGGAGAGAGTAGGTTGATTGTCGGATTGTGGGTTAGTTAAAGCTTTCCGGAAAAAGTTTCCCATATCCACTATTTCGTTTTTAGGACACCCGCTGGAACAGAGTTCCAACGTCGAGAAAAGAATAGTGTCAGAGTCAAACTTACGATTGACCAAAGAAGGGAGTGCGGATAACGACGGGGAACGGTAATAATTGCCAGATGATTCCCAGTATTTTAAAACATTTTGCCGCGAAAAATATGAGGGGGTCGAAAATCTAGATTTTAAAGAAGATTCTTCTTCTAATACTTTATTCGCAGTATTTTTAGCGTGAAAGGAAGCAAACTCGCGGGGTATTCTTATAGCCACCGATAAATACCTGGAGTCTGTATTGAGGAAACTGGTGGTGTCATAGTTATTCTGGTAAGAATCACGGTTATTATCGTTATCATCATTATTATAATTATCATCCGGATGATTTGCTTTATTCGTGTGAAATTTGGAATCTGGCATACCGGTTTTGACGTTGGAAATAGTTTTTTGAAGGCGAATAGAAATGACGGCGCCAATGTATTTTAGTTTAATATCTATGTGATTGTTGAGCGCCCTTTCTTTGATATAAACCGATTTCTCGTTCATCATTCCGGCATTATTTGAACCGTCGATGAACGTGGATGGTACGTGTCCCACTCGCGCTTCGTACGTTTTTTCCTCAGCACAGGGGTAGTGTTGCTTTATTATGACTGTTATCTGTTATACATGAAATTAATACAAAATTTAATCTAGTATTTATTTAAGTAATATCTTGCATGTTTTTAAAAAAATCAAATATTGTTATTCTATTATTCTAAATAATAAAATATTTTTATTTTAGGATATGTGCAGAAACATAGCAGCCTAATAAAAACTTATCTTGTCCCATTGAAAATTTTTCTTACATAATCATGTTAAAAAATTTTATAAAAAATATTACAAAAAGGCATCTCAAGGAAGAATATTGTAGACACCGGAGGACATAAATACATAAAAATATGTAACATTACGAAAGTAATTTTATTATAAAAAAGGCTTTGTTTTTTGCGTTTAAAAAAAGAAGATATTTATGCAAATATTTTTTTTATTTATAATGTAAAGGAATCGTTAACGCATAATGTGATAAATCAAAGAAAATTGTTGACAGACATTTTAGTATATAAAAGTAATGGATAATTTGTTTATATTTTATGCCCATTTTTAATTTTTGTCGCATGACCTTTGGCAAAAATTCTCAATTTGGGTTATAGCTAAGTTAATATTTTTTATATGGTTGCAATGATTTTTTTAGCTTATTAAGAAGTTGTGATCCTCAATAGAGATATTAGTTCTTCGCTATGATTCTTTTTTAAGTTAAAATTGTTTTCGTATTAGTATAATCCAGTAATCTGTCCTTATCTCTACTCTATTATATTAAGCCATAAATTTTAACATTCAATTTAATAAATGCTTAAATACAAACCACCTACTATCTAATATCTTAGTACTTACTAAGCTACACATATAAAAAAACAAGAGTAGGGTATTATGTAGGTATGTATGTAAAAAAAATTTCGACATATTATTTATTAATAATAGAGGTGCATTGTTTCTATTGTTTTGTCATTTAAAAAGTTGTATTCGATATCGACAATATACATAAAGAATAAAAACAAATAAAATATTTGAACAATTCGTGGTTAAATCTTTAAGTAAATAACTTATAATTCTAAAGTATATAGTAAAGTGGGGATAAAAGATTATTATTTATACTTTATAAAATAAGCTCTGATTTTATTTGTTAAATTTTTAAATATATTAATATATGATGAGAATTTAAAATTATATTTTATTAGTAAAAAAACTAAAAAGCACTTAAATTTTTTTTAAATAAAAACTTTTCTGTAAAGTTTTTATATAAGTTTGAAGTATTTTATTCATAAAAAAATTCATGTTTCCCTTAGTTTCTTTATTTCAACTTGATAATAATATAGCATTATATTTTTAAAAAAATATTAAATATATCCCTAGAGAAATTTCATGTAAAAAATTTTAAAAAAAACATAATATATTACATATCGCAAATTGACAAATTAGTGCCAGGTGATAGGTAAATATAAATATACAATTTATAATAAAACCAAATTTATAATCAAATTAATCAACCGGAAGAAGAAGCGAAAAAGGCATGAATAAGTTTCTAGTGAATAATATAGAAAGGGAAAAAAATAGCTGATATCTCTGAACCTTAAGTGTTTTTTTTAAATTTGTATTTCGCGACTATTTTTTTATATTATTTAAAATAGTGATTCCAATACAGGTTTCCAAAATTTTATTGGTTTCTGGTTTTCAAATTTGAGGCGATTCCAAGGGTTCCTGGTTCCAAACTGGTAAAACAATTTAAACGAAAAATAAACCTTTTAATAGTATCTTACAGAATTGTTTAAAATTTATAGGGTTGGTATTTAACACGAACACATTTCTGGAAAACTCCGATTATTTATTTTAGATTTAAAGATAGCGAATTGGCCGTGTTTTAAAAAATAAAAATCTGATTTTATAGATGATTTATTCCATTATGTGTAAAATCAGGATGTCGAACCGATTGGCATATCGATTTTCATTTAATTTTAAAAATAATTTATATCGATTTGTTCCGAGTCATAAATCCATATCAATTTGTTCCGCTTTTTATAAGTTTTGGATTTTTAAAATTAATCATTTATATCAGAAACCTGCAGAGGTACCATTTGCACAGCCCGGCCCGGATTTCTTTTTTAAAAATATTTTCGACCCAACAGGGTTTTATATTTTAGGCTTGCCCAGATTTTTTTAAAATATATTACATTTATTTGTAATTATTATAGCTAATAATGGCGATTTAAAATTTTTTAATTTAGGGTGGGCGAGAGTTTTTTTATGAAATTTTAGACCCGGCCCGGATATATCTTTAAGAAAATTTAGACCAAGCCCGGGTATATATAAAAAAATTAAAATAAGGCCCTGTCCGTGTACTCGGGGCGAGCTTAAGGCCGGGCCAGGTCTCTGATTTATATATTATTAAAAATAAAACCAAAAATAATTTCTTTATTTTATTATAAAACATGCATAAAATAAAATTTAATAACACATACAAAACCACATAAAAATTTGTACTATTTTTTTTAATTCAAGATAATAAATATAATTTCAAAAACCTTTATTAACCAGTTGATTTCTAAGGTATTTAACAATTCGGTTATCTCCTATCAAAATTTTCTTATAACGGTTCGTAAAATTAACGGTTTCGCGGTTTTGTTCACATCCATTTTAAATTGGTCAACAACTTTTGAAAATTTTCTAATTTATATACTAAAATTACATGAATTGATTAAAATATTTGTTTCGCGCATTCCCGGTAACATTAAAATAAATTACTTGCATTTTGATTAGAAACGAAATTTTAAAATGTTCTGGTTTATATTAATTTTGAAATTGGGTTTCAGGTTCTAGTTCCAAGATTTGTCATAGTTTCGAGAATTCCTAGTTCCTAATTGATATTAATCGATTATTCTATATTTTACTAAGGAAAAGTATGAATATAGCAAATAGGGGTAAGAAATTTAATATACTTGTGTGATTGCGGTAGCGTAAAATGTATTGCTAGGTATGACAGCTTCGCTGGTTACCTGAACCCCAAAGTATGGGTTATTAACCAGGGGCCAAGCCTTAGATATTCGGCACGTTTCAAAGGTGTTATCGTACTTGATGAGGTGGGGATCACCGAAAAGAGCGCAATAAAAATAATTATCATTATAATTACGTTGATTCTCCATGTGTTCGGTTTTGGGTGGATTGCGACGGTGCAGGTTATAATTGCAATAATGACTGGCGGAGGAAATTTTGCGATTATTTCTGTTGGCCTCATTACTTTTGAATTTTTCTCTTCTTTTGTTGGTTGATTTGCTATAACCGATCGCAGAAGAGTCAAAATCTCCAAATTCGTAGTACAAGGCGTCCTCTTTCATGCGATTTATATTATTTTGGGAAGGACTATTTTTTTCCGAATTTTGAGATAATTTTTTACTATCATCAGGGCTCCCATCCTTGTCGGGAGAAGTCGAGAGGAATTTATTGTGAAATCGCATTCTGTTTTTGCGTTTCGATGAGGAGGATCTGGCTAGCACCTTTTCGCAATCGTATTTAGTGAACCACTGCGATACAAGGGAACGCGTGGAATGAAAATTGAGATTGCCCCTGCAAGATTTGGAATCGTTTTCGAGGCAAGATCGGTAGTACTTGAGTAGGTGACAGTAACCTGGATTGGACCCCTGGGTTATATCCATGTCGGATACCGCTGTAGTGTATTGTTCGGCGCAACGTTCAATTGTACAACTTTCAACTGAAATAAGGAAGTTTGAATATAAATACATGAGTAAAATTATCAAAAAATTGGGAATGTTTCCAAATGAATCGTAAATATATTATTTTCAGGTCCGGCCCAAAAAGAGAATATTTTGTCCGAAACAGAAGGGAAAAAAATTATATGCACTCGAGAAAAATAATATAATAAATTTTCCCTTTCTCTAATTTTTTTTACCGATATCCGATTCGACCTAAATGAAAATCAAATTACTGCCAGATCGAATTCTAAAAGAATGCCAAGTCTGAATAATTCCAGTTTAGTTGTATTAAGCACGTCCTTGCAAGGCTCTAATAAAATAAATCAAAGATGGATATTAGATATTTCTACTTATTAAAATATCCTCATTTTAAAAATATTTATAACTTTATAATTTGATTATGCTCATCATGCATACTAAAAGTTAGTTGTAAATTATCATTATTCATTCCTTAAATTTATGCTTGTTGTCTATGTATTTAGGCTCTGAGGAATAATGGGTCAAATATCGTCCTCTTAAAAAGATATATGAAAGCCCATTGACTAAAAAAACAATGCCCCACTCCAAGTCTGCAAATACAATTAGCAACCGAATTTATCCTTATCTCAGAGCTTTTCTAATTATCATTACATTTTGATTTAATATTTTTTGTAATTTCAGCCGAGCCCTGTCAGGCTCATTTTAAAAAAAATTATTTTAGTTATCAAAATAATAACTATTATTCAAATAGTGTTGATTTTATTTAAAATAAACTAATAAAAGGATCAATGACTTGTGTTATTTTAATTTTTTAAATTAAATATCAAAAGGAATGGAATTGTTAATTTTCTTTTTACAGCCTTCGTTGATTGTTAAATTATCAAATAGAAACAGAGGCAAAAATTTAATTAATTTTCATTTTATAATAATGCTATAAAAAATTTAAACAATAAAAAAAGTTTATAAAATCATTTATGCCTTTAGCTAAAGTACAACTGCACTACTATTATAAGTGTTTCTATATAAATAGGAGCCAGTTCAGTCTTTTTTCATTGATTGTAAAAATATTTTAGCTAAAAATTTATAAAATAAAATTTTTAATAAGTTAAAGAGATTAAATTTATAGTATATTTATTTATTATTCAGTAAATAAGGTTTTTTTAAAAAATTATTATTGTGTGTGGGTCTGGGTGGTACTATTATTTTTATTAAATAATTTATTTTAAGAAGCAGCGTAACTGAACCCGTAGACGTCAAATGGTATTCCAGTTTTAAATATTTAGATAGGTGATATGGGTAGTGTTCCCATAATATTTTCCACTGATAGGGCCCCAGTAATATTGTAATGCCCATGGCCTAAACACCACTTCCCTCTTCCCAAAAAATGAGTAAAATAAAGTATTTTTTATAAACTGATTATTATATATCATTATGATTTAAATTTTTTTGGAAAGGTATATTTAAAAATAAAATATGCGTAACCAGGCTAAAGCCTGAAAATTGTCTATGGAGGCTACACCCCCCAATCGCATTTTAAAAAATCCGGGAGGGCTTCAAAATTTAAAAAAATTCAAATTATATTCAAATTTTCAATTTCCCCTGATTTGTAAAACGAATCACGGACATGAATGTCCTAGACAAAAAGACATCTAACAAAAACACCCTAAATTTAAAAATTCCCTTAAATACTTAAAAACGGGATATTTAAAAATGTTAATCGTTTTAAACGTTTAAATATTTTTTGAAAATTTGGATATTTTTGTCAGTCGATACTTCTGTCTTAAGAACGCAAGCCTTCGAGATTTCACTAAACCCGAACTCTTTTTTAGAACGAAGGTTTACAGCCCTGATTTTTGTTCAGGACATTTCTGTCCGTGATTTAAAAAATAAGACAAAATTATTCAGGTAAAAATCAGGGCCAGGTTAAAATAAATTCCAAAAATTCACGAGCCGAGTTTGATGAAATTTTTTTTTAAACATTTGGACCGGCCTTAAAATTTTGGCCTTATGTAGGTTTCCGAAATATATATAATATACAATTTAGAGGCCCCTAACCCCCAACTAAAATATATCATTTTATTGGTCAAGAGCGGTTGCCTTTTATATATTTATATGCGCATTTTCTGCATTAAATGCATATTCCTAGCGCAATAGGTTAATATTTTATAAATTCATCACTTCAAACATTTGGTGGGTACATCCGAACCAGGCGCGTAACCAATGGGGGGGAAAGGGGGAAATTTCACCCCCCATAGCAAATTTGACTGTTTTTCTAAATATTATTTTAAGATAATAAAAAATTTTACCCCGACCCCCTCCCCCCTGCCCCATCAAAATTTTTCAATATCAAGCAGAGTTTATCCTTACTGCTAGTTGCATTAATAAATTATTTTCCTATAGCTCACTACTATGTAGAAATTTACAAAAACCAAATTTCAATTTGGTTCAAGTTATTGATTTGGAGGAAAATGTGGACAGGAAGAATGAATGTAGTTGAATATTTTATAATATTTATATAGACGTTGAATTAAATCTTATAAAATATCCAATTTCTTTCCATTCTTAGATACTTTTTTATCGCAAATTAAAGTACGGTTTTTAGATAAAAAACAAGTCTTTGGTAATCTTCAAATTTTATTACCTAAAGACCCTTCTTCGTTTTCTGATGTAATTAAATATTTAGCAAAATTTTATTCCTATGATGTTGATACTGAAATCAATTTAATCAGTGAATTCGAATTGTGGTATAAATATTTACTACGTTTATTATTTTACCTGAGCTGCTATTGATGCGCTCAATCGGTATAAGGAGGCTTAATTTATTTTGAAGGTTCTTGCATGTTTGCCTATTACAACATATACGAATGAAAGGACCTTTTTCAAATTGAGAAGGTTGAAAACTTATTTACAAAATACTACTTCTCGGCTAAATGGGTTAGCTATGTTAAATATCCACAGAGATTTATTTCCAACGACAAAGAAAATTCTTGATGAATTGGAAAAATTCCCACGAAAATTAAAAATCGCATTATAATTCTAGTATTTAATAAATTTTTTATATAATATTGTATTTAATAAGTTATAAAAACTTGTTCTTTAAAAAATTTTCTATTCAATATTTTATACTCACTACAATTAGAATTTTCAATCAAAAAAATTTTATATTTATATTATATGAGAATTTAAGCTGAGGCTAGTTTTTAAAGCAAATTTTATATAAAAAAAAAATTGACACTAAACTTTATTTCAATTTTATATTTTTTAAAAAAAATTTATCTATAATATACCTAACTTAAAATAAAAATTGGGTTATAACTTTTATTTCTTCTTATATTCATAAGCGCGAATTAGTAATCAGGAGACCCAAAAGAAAGCGACTACTTACGTCAACGCATAGGAATTCAGATTATAAAATCTAATTTTACACGCCATAGGTTCATTCCCCGAGGAGCCGATTAATCTAGATTTTCTTCTTCTTCCCTAAATTATTTAAACCCCCCCCCCTTCTTCTTCATATAATCATTTGCATTTATTATATTTGTATTATATCTATTATTATACTTTGTATTATGAAGTCCTTGTTTGTTAAATTTCTTGAATTTTCTAGAATTATGTTTTGGACATGAATTTATTTTTATACTATCATTTTGTCAGATTTAATTTGTCTTTATTAATAAATGTTAAATTTAAAAATTAAAAAAAAAATTTCTTAAATAATTAATTTATAAAAGGAACCAAAATTCAAATAAAAATTAAAAATATTAATATAATTATTATTGAATTATAAATAATTTAAAAGAATAGATCAAAGATATGACCCGGCCGAAGGTGAGGAAAAAGCTGGCCAAAGGGGGTTTGGAGGCAAAGCCCCCCAAAAAAAATCCCCCCCCCTATAGGAAAATCCTGGATACGCCACTGATCCGAACCATAATTATTATTGGTTCTTCCGATAAAAACAATAATACATGGTTCAATTAAAAAAACAATAAAATTTTATAAGTTTGAACTTTTAAAATTGTTTCGGTTAAAACCTTTTAAACCCAGTTAAATTTTTTTCACATTAAAACCTTTTAGAATTGTGTAATGAGAATCAAAATTTTTAAAATTTAATCTTATTCCATAACAAATAATACTGAGCCAATGAGTTAAAATATTTACAAGATTCTCTTCTGTCAAATTATATCTGAAGATAAAGAATAAATTCTATGGTTACGAATCTTCTTATACGGTAACTTGGGTAGCTGACTGACACCTTCAAATAGTAATATACAAATATAATTATTGATATTTATCAATCAAAGCTTATATTTATAATAGTTAAAATATCAAGAGGTTCAAAGATCTTTTTAGAATTTCGGTGTATATTGTCTTAATAACGGTCTATACCGATTTATGGGTTTGGTTTGAATCTCAGTTTGTGGGTCCGCCAACTTAATTATTTAAGAAAATTGAAACAATTTTACCAGGATTAAAACATTATCTTATAAAAAGAAGTTTAATAATTATATTTTAGGTGTTAAAAGATTTTTGATTGAAACATGCTCATGAATAACATTGTGTTCAAATATAAAATATTTTACATCCACAACCCATTGATTAATCTAGTGAAGGTCACAGTCCGGTCTTTGGTCCGGACTGGACCGATACTCTCGGACCGGACCGGACCGCGGTCCTTAAGAAAAAGATCTATCCAGACCGTGGTCCTAAATAAAAAACATATTTTTTTAACCTAATTTGATTTGTTTTATCATTTTATTAAATATAAGAGTATTTATAAACAATAAAATTTATCCAATGGTATTGAAAAAAATGATTTTGTGCTTGTAGAGGGCATATTAAAATTAAGAGTAGATTGTGTTTTTTGAGATATTTTCATTTTCATCATTAGAAGTATATATTTTATGTTTTATCAGATGTCTGCTTAAGGTACCTAATTATTTTATTAAGAACAAGGTTAAGTAATTTTTATAATAAATTATACAGACAGTTTCTTTAAAAAAAATAGAACTATATAATAACTAAAATATTTTAATAATATTATTGCTTATTTTGATTAATTTATTGCTTAAAAAATTATAAACAATTATTTTGTTACTAGGTGCTGACGATACATTAAATTTGGTACTGCAGTGAACACATACTCTATGTTTTTATTGGGACTATAAGTAAAATGTTTCTTGGACAAACTTATGGTTTTCATATTGTAAAATAAAAATTAACAAAATCTAAAATGACTCCTCTAGAAAAATATCATAAAATAAAATATACAAAAAAATTATATTAATTGTATAGTAGCAAACTTAAACAATAATAAAAGACCGGTCCGGACCG